CGGACAGTTTGCTTAGAAAGTAAAAAATTCTATAGTTTTATATTTCTCTGTCGACTTTTCCGTCGGTAGCCAATGGCCGCAACTTGCGCTGTATAAAGAAACAGACCAAACGTCAACATCCCAGTAAATCATGAAAACAATTGGTGAGATACGGGAAAAAGTCGGTAAGGAGTCTGATAACTCTTGTGCACTGCTGTACAGAATTAACTACGTTTGGGTACATTTTTGGCATTATTGCCAAGAAACGAAGCCTATTCCAAATTAATAACCTTAAGATTGAATCGTGTAGGGGTGTAGATTTTAGCTGACTTGAATTCCAGCATCATATTCTTCACGTGCAGAACCCACGACATTGCATCGTTCACATCCTGACTAAACGCCACACAGCGAGAGATCTTCTCGTGGTACTGACTTAGTTTAGACTCTGTTTCGTTCGCGATCTGAATAACATAAGAAAATTATATGGAGCAGGGAAAATCATCACTATGGATACCGTCTGCAAGCGATCCGTCAGGTCCGCAAGGTTGTGATTAAAGCTGCGCTTTGCTGGGTCAAACACGGTTTCTCCTTTCAGCAGTTCCTCCGCGGATGTTGATATTTCTTGCAGCTGTCGCTGTTTTGCTTTCACCTCTTCCATTTTTGCCTAAACGCCCATAAACTAATAAGCCACAGAAAACGTAGACAAAGCTGAAATGTACCTCGCAGCGATCCATAAAACTATGTAGAGCCCGACAGTCGAACGGATCAGCGTGAGAGCTCAGGAGAGCTTCCGTCTCATCGACCCAGAAGACAAGTTCATCGGTCTTGTCTTTAATATCCATATGTACCGCAAGACGCGATTCCACCCTGAAAAACGCAAAAATACCTCGATTAGTGATCATTCCGAGATAATGAATATATTGTTTTATTTGCAGTGGCCCAAAATTTCCGGGTACGCAAAGTTAGGACAATTGAATTCACTAAAAACGATACCGGCTTCAGCAATATGCCAGGTTTAATGACAGAGTTCAGTGCCTCTCTGTACAAGATGAAACAGTTTTAATAACGTATGGCCAAAAATCCTTTTTCATTAACTGCCAAGTTAGTAATTCGTTTACCGACGGTCACCAGGAGGTCTACAATTTAGGCTTGATGCTGATTGCACTCTGCTTCTCCAGACTGACAAGTAACAGTTGCGATAGTTTGGGCACGTGTTGCAAATGCATCCAGAAAGGAAGGCTAAGGCAACTGTTTCTTGCCAAACCGACTGGCAGAAGACCCAGTGGACGGCCAAGATTAACCTGGTGCAAATACATAGAAGGAGCCTTTTCCAGACTCCACTTGTCTTCTGTCGAAGCTCAGACTCTGGCAATGGATCGGGATCGTTGGAAGAGCTGTCTGATGTGTCTGCCTCCGCGATCCAAGAAGAGAAGCGGTCATGGACGATAAAGATGCAGATGCTGATCACTTGGAAAGCATAAGTAATTCATCTGAACTTCCGCCTTTACTAGCTGACATTGTTTAAGGTGTCTCTTTCTGAACAACAACTATATGAGCAGTCGAAGATCTTACTTTGAAGCGAGGCACAGTATATCCGGCCAACTGTCTTGAATACCCAGATTACAGAAACAGTATAATATTGTTTTGCAGTGTGGAAGGCTAGCCTCGCTACCTGGCCGCTTAAGTACGCAACCTAACGAAGAAATGGGGTATTTTGCTGAACGCACATAAGTTACAAGTGAAGATGAACCCAGCCGGTACAGAAAATCCGTTGATGCAACAAGGAGATGAATCGGTAGAGGATTTAGGTTAGTCTACATTTCAGTTCTTTCATCTTTAGCGACAATAACAATCAATCAGAGTCAAATATGAGAAAACCTCCTGTTCCACAAAAATATAATATCTCGGATAAGAAATCAACATCAATTTCCACAAAAACCGGGTTGTACCACGCCTACGTCATGTTAGTGTTCGTAGAAGGCATAAAGATCGTCATTTCAATGAAAGACCAAAATCAACGGTTTAGCAGCGCTAGATACAACGCTAGATTCGACGCATGATGAGAGTTAAATTGCAGGACATGGAATGACTTTTTTCTTTTTCGGGCACAGGCACCTCAGGAGAGGCAGAGACAAAGAAAAATTTTTGGCTACGTTAGATACATCGATTGGACATAAACTCTGAATTTTAGCCCGCAAACGTTTCAAGTTGGAACCAAACCAGGCAAATGTCGACCAGGAGGCTGGCATGGAACATGGATAACAAAGTTTAGGCAGCTCAGAGAAGAACTTTCATACCTAAGATGCAGTAAAATACATTCTATCCCTAAAACTGAAAAGTTGAAGCTACAGAGGAGATCAAAAACCAGATACATTATGTAATGCAGTAGTTCAAGGAAATGATACTAAAAGTAACAACCGAGGACATTTGTGCTGAACAAATTTTGTCTGATAAACTCACTGAATTCGCTTTCCAGCGGCATCCAATTTCAGTTTCTCGAAGTGCTTCTCACAGTGGGCCATCTTCTCAAAAAGTGTGACTTTGTTCGCCGGTGGCAACACGTCTGCCAGCTGTTCAGCCAAAGTTTTTAAGCTTTCAATCGAATCGTCAACTTGAGCAAAAACGTCTTCAGTTTCCTACAGCAATCGACATGAAAGACGCACAAATTACGTGCAATGAACAGAGAGCAGCACAATCACTAGTCCTACCATCAGTTCATTCTCCAGTTTTTCTAGCGAATGAAGATCGTCCCGGGAACAAATTTTTTTTAGTGTATTTTCTGTTCTTTCCAAACATGAATTCAAAGTTTGCAGCTGCCGAAAGAAAGAATTCCAGCTTTTCAACTGGGCAACAAAAGTTCTGAAAATATTTAAAATGAATATCAATCGAAGTTAACAATGCCTAACTCACTCGTTAAATTTGTCGTAAGTAGTTTGCAGTGTTGAGAAGTTACAACTGACGGTTTCCATTGCCTTCGTAAGCTCCTGCATTCTTTCGGCGCTAACTGACGAACAACACGAGCTTCTCCGTTGCTGTAGGGCCAAAATTTCTTGATGCCATATTTTAATAGAATTACTGATGTCCTGAAACATATCTTGCATTATCAAATTAAATGGCATAAAGATTATCAATGTAAGGCGTGAGGAGCGCCGAACATTCACTTTTCTCGATTCTGGCCAACTAGTTTACCTTTAATGCAGTCTGTCGGTCCAAAAACGGAAGGCTGTCTTCGCCAGTTTTACCCATCTGACGACATAATTTCATCACCGCAGAGGTGAGAGCCTTGTTTAGCGAGGAACAGTCGGTGAGCAACACGTTGACTGTTTTATCAGGAGAGCAGTCGATCGCCTTCAGTCGCAACATAAGGTCATCGCGCTTAACGTAGATAATTTTAAAGGCCTCTTCGGCCGATATGTCTGGAACGAAAATATCAGAATCTTCGCAAAGATCCTTGACAGCGGAGTTGGTGGATTTTAAGTCCGAAATAAAAGCTTCGTACTTCAAAAGCAATTGCTGTAGATCTTCTTTAGACTGCATCTATAAAGATTTGGTTTCTAAGTGAAATCCAAATTGCAGATATTTATAAAAAGTCGTTTGGCGGATAATGATTAAACAGTGATAAATAATTAGACGGAAATCATTCGAAGTTAATCGATTGACCCATGGAATCAATGGCGAGCAGTAGGTGAAGTTACGAGTACACAATGGTGCAGAAAGGCAGAGAACGGTAAAGCAAATTATCGCCTGATGCTACAGCAGCCGAATCCCGAAAGACACTTTACAAATAATGTTTCTCTGAAGAATTACAAGAAGGTACTTCCGAAATACGCTTCGTTCCAGTTCCTCAGTGAGGTGCCATGCATGGATCGTTGAGCCCCGACTAAAAACGAGGAGCGACGCAGGGCTCTGTGCATAAAAACTCTTTTCTGATACTTCAGTATATTTCAGATGCTCATCGAAAACAATATTTGATATCTAGAGTACACTATTTTTTAAACACCTGGTTTTCCTACTCTGCAACGGAGAATAATACTAATACCGGCTGGCAGGAGTTTGCTGTTAAGCAAGATATTTGAATATATTATTTGCAAAAAAATTTGCTGATCACTTATATCAACGACATGGTTCATGACTGCAACATGTATGTCGCAAAGACGGTCAGAGAATAAAGTTAGAGCTCATATGGTGGTGAGAAGTATGCTTAAATGCCCTATTCCGCAGAAACTTGTCACGAGTCCTAAAAGTCAGGAAAGAAGACAATGCTAATCAGATCTTCGTACAATGAAGAAACATTTTTCTAAAAAAGGACCCTCTACTTGCATACACAGATAGTACTACGCTTATCTGCGTTTTTGCTGGAAGACGTTGAGTTAAAGGGATCAAATGAGAAAGTGAAGACTGGATGGCCAAGATCAGGAAATGCGGCTCAGTGACGATAACAAGCTAACTTTAAACCATCCAGGCATTCTCCAATTAGAAGAAAAAATTCACTGCTGGTGTTGATGTTCGTCATGCTGAAGAAGCATGCAAGAAAAAGATCAAAGACAAAAAGATGAAAATGAAGTAGAAGCAGACCTTGTTCAATGTTTTCACCAGCTGCAGCCTAACTTAAGACGGCCGATCGTTTCGCAGCTCCCCGCATATACAGAACAGAACAACCAGAAATGATGTGTGTCTGAAAAGAAATCTAATGCTCATCAGACGAAATCAAGGCAATCCTGAATAATGGGTCTTTATATGACTATCACAACAAGAGAACAAACCACCAAAATAAAAATATTGACGTTTCGGCAATTGTCCACATTTCCCTTCAGAGTAAATTCAAATTCATACAAAAAGGACTTGCACAGACCCATATATTCTGTTATTATATTGCTTCCAAACTGCTGCGAATTTATGTTCAGTAATTAAACATTTATAAGCGAGAATACAGAATCTGTTTGACGTCGCTTCTTGCATACAACATCCAAATGATTACAGAGTTTAGAACTTTAGTGTCGCCTCAAAAGAAAATCACAATAAACAAATTTTCCGGTAATTACATCGATCCGCTGCAGTTGTGACGAACACACGCCAACATCCTGCAGTATGCGACTGTACTTGTCTGCCAAGAGAGTGGCCACTTGGTTTTCGAGGTCCAACGTATGTTTCAACTAGAGAGTTCAAGCGTTCACAGGAGAATCAAGGCAAATTCGATTAGGCAAACGGACATACGGCATTGTACTCCGTCGTCACCATGTCGATGTCGTCCAGCACCTTCTGCGTTTCTAATTCTGGGGGCCCGTGGTCAGCCAATTTTTGACCGGATCTGATCACTTGGTCGTATTTCGGAGTAACTTCTTCAAACATTCGGCTACAGCGCTACAACGAAAAGTAGTTTTCATCAGATGGTTTGGGGTACCTTTAAACAATAACTGATTCACTCCAATTAGTAATACAAGCGAATGCACAGTAGAACAAGGGGAAGGGAACACAGAAAGAACATCTGTTGTGCCTCGTAACAAAATGTAAGTGACGCTTACATGTACACGTGAAACAAAATACGCAAAACGTTACCAAACTGTGCGTGCGTAAAATGCGCGTCATATTATCTGAAATAAACACACATGTCATCTGTTGAACGTTTACTGTATACACCCTGAGGGAACTAAAGGAGGCCATCCTGAAGGAACATCTAAGTTCAACTCGAATGTAGTACGAAGAAACGTGCAAAGCAGCAGCGAAATCAGTGGCTAAAACGAAAGCTGATTCACGGGAAACGCTCGATGAGGCGCTGGAGTAAAATTTTCAGACGGTAAACAAGGTGTTCTGGTCAAACCATCCGACATCTCCAACATGGAAAGGAAGGCAGTCTAAGAGCTCTGAAGAACAAGTCCGGACGACATAATTCGATGACGGAGATGCAAAACTTTAACCCTGAACAACCGCAGGAAGACTCGACTGCATAGCAGCAAGGAAAGTATATTAGTCTTACAGTAAATGATGTCACTGAAGCTGTAATAAGCTTGAAATTTGGCAAGGCTCTTGCAATCGATTAACTCGCCATGCAATGCTTAAAGCAATAAGCGAACAATGCATTGCTGACATACACGTATCTGACAAACTGCACTGGTTACCGGAAAGACAATAGAGAATGGAGAACGCGGATTGTAGTACCCCTGTTCAAGAAGGAAGTCTAGCGGGAGTGATTTAATTATCGGGATATTACCCGATTGAGCCTTGGGGGTACAGTCTACGCAAAAGTACTAGAAGGGCTGTCATGGAACAACTGACTCCAAAATACAAAAAGAGTAATATGGCTTTCGGTACGGCCGAAACATATCTGACCAGATATTTCGCCCTACGCCAGATTGTTGAGAAATCATCATCACCGCTCATTCGGTGTATATGTGCTTTGTAAACCAAGAGAATGCCCCTGACCGGATCAAGCGCAACAGATCATGGGCATGTCTGCGAACATATGGGATCGATGGTCAGTTACTACAAGCGATCGAATCACCATATGCTGATAACAGATGCTGCGTCAGTGTAAACGGCGTTAAGTCTAGACCTTTCACCGTTAGCACCGGTCTCCGCCAAGGCTACATTCTGTCCCCTCTACTGTTTGCGTCGTAAATGAGCTGAATGGTGAGGCGCAGCCAGGACGATGCGTGTATCAGTATATGAGATGCAAAGAGAGAAGGCAACTATCTGCAGACGAACCTGTTTTGTTGTGATCTTCTAAAACTGATTTACAGTACTCGCTGAAAAAGTTTTCAGC